GGTGACCGCCGGGCTGTGCGGTGACCGCCGGGCGGGCCTGCTGAGCGCTGGCTCCTGGAAGCGGTAACCTGTGGGCGCTGGTTCCAGGGGCGAGGGGGCTGGGGACAGGCCTGACCACGCAGACGGGCCACCCCTGGCTCTTCAGGGTATTGGCCTGGCTGGGACCTGGAGAAGCATTTTGGGAAACAGTTGAGCAGTTAGGTTGGTGGTGTGGGTGAGAAGAGAAGAGGGACACTTGAGTGTGAGGCCTTGAGAGTCCGTCGGAGGAAAGTGACGTGACAAAGGCGGTGTTGGGACAAGCTTGTGTCCCTTACAGGTAAGGTGGCTTCTTGAACACACTGGCAGGTGTTTGCTGCGTTCAGCGGTGAGGTCGTGGGGGGGTGAGGGAAATGCCAAGAAGGGCTGGCTAAGGGCTGGGCCTCCTCATAGTTTGGGGTCTAAGTGGGGGCCTGAGGTGTGTGTGTGTGTGCATGCATGCATGTGTGCGTGTGCATGTGTGTACACGCGTACGTAACCACAAAGCATACGTGACAGAGTCTGTGGGTTTACAGGCAGCAAGTCCCAGAGGGGAAAGGAGTCTGTTTTGGCTGGTCCACTGGAGTTGACCTCAGTAGGACGCGCGGTCGGACTTGGGCTTGGGAAGATGGAAGTTATTTCATTAGTGAGAGCAATGGGGGAAAGTGGCCGTCTAGGCACGGAAATGACACTAGGAAAATTCGGTTTGAAAGTGCGTGACAGGTACCTGTGGCTGGGGCAGGAAGTTCGTGGGCGCGTACATAGCGCGTAAGTGAGGAACAGTCCGGAAGAGCAGAGGAAGGGAAGCGGGCGGTCACAGGAGAGCCTGAGGCCCGGCCGGGGAAGAGCCTGGTCCTAGGCGGGCAGAGGGAACAGAGCGGCAGCCGCTGTGGCAGGCGCCCCGGCCCCCTCTGGCCACTCGGAAGGATGGTCTCTGGACGCTCCGCTCAGCACGGGCGCGTCACCTCGGAGAGACTCACCTGGGTCCTCGCAGCCGACCTCCGGGAGCAGCAGGCGGGAGGAGCCGGGACACAGCACAAAGAGACAAGACTTTTGGTTAAATCTACACATTTTAAAACAGATGTTCTAGAAGCTAAGAGCATTAAAACAGTGATATTAGAAAACTTTTTTCCCCCCATAGGATTTAAAAAAATCCTCACCCAAGGATATATTATTAATTATTATTATTATTACTGATTTTAGAGAAACAGGAAGGGAGAGAGAGAAACATCCCTCAGGTGCCTCCCATGTGCACTGAGACGGGGATCAAACCCACCACCGGGGCGTGTGCCCTGCCCGGGAATTGAACCCGCAGCCTGTTTTGGGAGGCCCGTCCCAGCTTCCGTTAACGGACAGATAACCAGCCGCAGCTGCGAGTGACGCGGTCATTTACTTGAGAGCTCGGTGCCGTCACCAGGAGAGGGAGGGGCCGCGTCGCCGCCCGGTCGCCGGGGGCAGCGTTACTATGAAGAAACGGAAAACAGGGTCAGCTTGACGTGGAGACTGTGCTTTACCAAAAATGACTTAAGGAGCTATTTTTAACTTTTTGGGGAAATTTTTAGTTTTAATACAACCTGAAATCTACAGAAAAGTGGCAAAGAATCCCTGAAGCCCGCGTTTCTCTCTATTTCAGATGAGAAATAACTGCAGACACTATTTCCTCAAATCCCCGCAACTTAAACTGCTGTACGACGTGGCCACGTGGATGGCGACGCAGGTGGCCGTGAGTTACACCGTGGTGCCGTTTGTGCTGCTCTCCGTGAGGCCGTCCCTCGCGTTTTACAGGTGAGCGCGGCCCTTCCGGCGCGGGGGCCCCTCGTTTTCGCAGGACGCCCCGAGCTGTCGGGCACCGTGGAAGGGGGCGCCGGGGCCTCCTTCCCGGCCTAGGCGCGTGGCCGGGCGAGTCCCCCCAGCCCTCGGACGAGGGGCTGAGTTAGAGAAGCGCCGGCCGGCGGCCCCTCCTCGGACCCCGCGGCGGGGCGACTGGGAAGAGGGGGGCTGCCCTCGGCGGGGAGTCATTCTCTCCATCTCTTCAATCGGAAGAGCATAGATTGGTTAAGTTTCATTTACCTGTTTTGGCGTCACTCCGTCTTTTATGTTTCATCGGCCCTCTGTCGTCCCTGTCGTAGAAATTACTTGAATTTGGTATTTTATTTATCTCACGCCTCTCCCCCCCCCACGGGTGGTACCTTTACGACCCAAACCTTTATTCCCCCTGAATTCCCCCAGTGTCCTACACGTAGGACGGTCAGCACGGCTGTGGGGTCGGCCGTGTCGGATAAGCCTGCGGGAAGACACGCAGTCGCTCCTGCTGAAATGCCCTGTAACAGAGTCGTTCCACGTTTTGTTTTTTTTAAAAAATATATCCTTATTGATGTCAGAGAGAGGAAAGGAGAGGGAGAGAGAGAGACAGATAGAAATATCAATGAGGAGAATTATTGATCGAGCCCTCAACCCGGGCATGTGCCCTGACCGGGACTCGAACCCCGATCGCCTGGACCCCAGGCCGACGCTCAGCCGCTGAGCCACGCCCGGCCGGGCTCCACGTTTTCCAATGTGATTGAGCTGCTTGAATTTCCCCAGGCTCCTCCCAACCCGTCACTTCGACTTAGAGCTGTAGGAGGAGTTCAGGTCCCGTTTGGCTTATGTTTCATCTGGGGAATGAGACTTCTGAACGTATTTTTAATAGCGTGACATTTCTTTATTGCGCAACAATAACCGTCAAGTGGCAGCATTGCTGATCGGTCACTCGCTTCCCGAGACTCCGTGTAACTTAACTAGGGACAGTAGCCGGCAGGAGCGGCCCGAGCAGGGACGTCTCTGCCACCCCCGAGCTGTCTGTTTGCTCCGTGTGTCCTTCTGCGGGCTGGAGAGGCTACTCTCAGGTCGCCGCAGCTGCTAATNCCTGCCACCCCCGAGCTGTCTGCTCGCTCCGTGTGTCCTTCTGCGGGCTGGAGAGGCTACTCTCAGGTCGCCGCAGCTGCTAACGGTGCCTTTTCGTTGTGGGTCTATTTGGCCGTGGCCTCGCGACCCTTACAGAGGAACGAATGCCATGTGATGGCTGCTCGCAGGCTTCCAATCGGCCTGATAAGCTCCCCCGGGCACACTGTCGGGTTTCGTCTCAGGGTGGGGCGGGGTGGCTGAGAGAATCGCCTGGTAAATAAACACATCCTAAGGGGGGCATGTGGCATGCGGACAGATGTACCGTTATTAAAGGTTGTTATTGATCCACATTTAATCTTTTCCCTTTTAGCTCCTGGTATTACTGCCTTCACATTATTGGTATCTTAGTATTATTGTTGTTACCAGTGAAAAAAACTCAAAGAAGAAAGAACACACGTGAAAACGTGCAGCTGTCGGGATCCAAAAAGGTTGATGAAACAGGACATGCGTCGGGACAGAATAGTTTTTTCACGACAAACAATGTGTGCAACCAGAACCAAGACATAGCCTCTAGACATTCGCCGCTAAAGCAGTGATGGGAACATGCTCGGCAGCTGTGTTTTCTGTTAACAGCGACCGATCTTAGCACCTTCTCATGGGGTTTGGGTTTGCTTGAAAAGAGAGTAGGTGGTGGGGCAGCCGGGCTGTTGCTGTAGGGAATTTCCTGTGTCCCTGATTGGAAACGGGAGTTAAAGAGCCCCTCCCATGCCATGTCCCCGGGGCCGCGCCTTATAGAAAATAGTTCCAGGATTTCGACGGGCACTCAGGACCTCAGCATATGTCCGCAGGGTCATCTGTGCGCCCTGTTGCTGAACGTACGCTGTGTTTCCCAAGGCACCGCGGAGGCCGGAAAAGAATTGTGTCAATCCGGACCATCGAGAGAAATGAACTTTTCCAAATGAATGTCTTGCCTTAAACCCTCTATTTCCTAAAATATTGTTCCTCAATGGTATTTTCAAGTGTGACATTGTGAGGACTCTATGTCAATATTCCGTGTGATGTGCTGCAAAGGAGTTCTGGGGACGTCTGAGACAGGGTGTTTAAGAGTGTGGCTGCTTTAAAAACGCAATAAACATCTCAGTATTCGAAGGGTTTTCTGAAAGTATCTCAAATGACTATAGTACAGAGTGAATTTGTCAACAGCACGGATGCCAAGTTATAGGTAGCTTATTTTCCTGGAGAGTTTAACTACCTTGTGTCAGCCAGAGAGCCCTCCTAGGAAGAATTTCTTAAACGTAATTAAAGATCGGTAATGCGATACTTGAAGCTTATTTTCTTACGAAAGAGAGAGAGAAGATGATGAAGGCAGGCAGCAGGCGTGAAGGAAGACAGGCCCGGGTGGCGGGGCCTGGAGCCAGGAGGCACGGCGCACGGGGCGGGGACCAGGTGCTGGGCAGAAGCACATTCATCCTTATTTATCTGAGTTTTTGTGATATGTAAGACGTAAAAGTTTAATAACTTTTTAGTGTGCTGGACTCTTCAATGAAATCTGTCAAGCGTAAATGATGTAGAATTATAAAAGGGCTATGAGAATAATAGTGGTGGCTGGCTCGAAGGCTTGGAAAGAGAGACCGCCGAGGGAGGCCGCTGTCGGGCTGGTCGCTTTCTCCCCCTTGACAGTTTAATTCATATTTGGGAAGGTTTTAGGGAAATGAAAACTTAATGTCCTTGGGTCTGAGCCACGTTTTTAGAGAATACTATAAATTAGTTTCCAAACTCCTAACTTCTCACATTAAAATTTTGCTGTTAATACTTGTTAATGAGTGTTCGATTCTGTAAGTAGAAACATGTGCTTTTATCTCCCGGGCCATTTTCCCCACAATGAGCTCGCCTCGAGTCCCGAGCATCTCCGGGAATCCCAGCCTCACGATGCTGCGGTAGCCGAAAGGGGCGAGTGGCCGAGATGCGGCCTGGTCAGGGCCTCGGCCACGGACCCCTCGGCGGGGCTGGGAGCCAGCCGGGCGGGCAGGGGCCTCTGGACTGCACCTGCGTTTGACCGACCTCTTGTGGGATTTATTTTCTTTTTGCCTTATTTAATGAAATGCAAATTGTCTATCTCTGGTAAGTCTCTCTTTTTTGTCATTAGTCAACTTTCAAATGAAGTTAAGAACAGAGCAGCCACCCTGCCTTCGCGATGTATTTCGTTTAAAGGAGAGCAAGCATACTTGGAACTTTTGAGGCCCTAATCAGCAAAAATATCAATGTGTCTTTTTAGAACTTTAGAAACACGAGAGTGTTTGTTTGTGTGAAACGTGTCCATTTTTTTTTTTTTTTTAATATTTCTTTATTGATTTCAGAGAGAGGAAAGGAGAGGGAGAGAGAGAGACAGAAACATCAATGATGAGAGAGCCACTGATCGAGCCCACAACCAGGCATGTACCTGGCCGGGAACCGAACCGTGATCGCCTGGATCCCAGGCTGACACTCAACCGCTGAGCCACGCCCGGCCGGGCGAAACATGTCCATTTTTCTAAAGGTGACTTTTCCCACGGGAGGAGGTCAGCCGGGCCCCATTACCTCCCGGGGAACAGCAGGTGGCCGAGGAATCCCCTTTCCCGTGCTTGGCTTGGAGCTGGCTGTGCATCCTGAGAGGATGGACAGTAATCATGGCAAGTACCTGCCCCCAAATCTCCTCAGTTTAATTAATGCTGCAGGGAATCTGGTCATGATTAAGAAAAAGTGAACAAGTTTAGAATTTACAGACAAGTCTAGGCATGTCATTAGTGGAAACAAGAAAGGTTAATGAAACCTTTTTTGTTCAGCCTATTTAGCCGTTTACAAACAGTCACCACTTGTTCCTGTTCCCTGACTGTATTTTATTTCTCAGCCTGTGAACCTAAGATCACTGTTACCTCCTGCTCAGTGACTATAATCATAGAGCTACCACGGTGAAAACAAGATAATTGATGGACGTTCCAGTTACTTAGAAGATAGACTGATTTTCATGCCCGTAGATCAGGGGTGGGGGACTTTTTTCCTGCCAAGGGCCATTTGGATGTTTATAACATCATTCGTGGGCCATACAGAATTATCAGCTTAACAATTAGCTATGCCCTGGCTGGTTTGGTTCGGTGGTTAGAGCATCGGCCCGAGGACTGAAGAGTCCCGGGTTCGATTCGGGCCAAGGGCACGTACCTCGGTTGCAGGCTCGAGCCCCACCCTGGTCCGGGCGCATGCAGGAGGCAACCAATCGATGCGTCTCTCTCTCATTGATGTTTCTCTCTCTCTCTCCCTTCCACTCTGAAAAGCAATGGAAAAAAGATCCTCTCGTAAGGATTTAAAAAAAAAGACTTATGGGGGAAAAAAAGGCTCCTAGATTTATTGAATTTCGAGTCCCACCTGTGGCTGCCTTGGGCCAGACCAAATGATTTTGGCCTGTGGGCCGGATGTTCCCCACCCCTGCCCTAGATCAACTTAGGTGGGGGTGTTTTTTTTGGGGGGTGGGGTGGGGTGGTATGTCGGGCTTTTTGGATAGCTTTTCTCTAATTTTAGAGAAATTTATTTTCCGTTACATATATTGGGGTTAATTTTGGAGACATAATCACAAGGGTGTCATCTAGAAGAAAAACTGAAGGGATGATTCCAGTTCCCAAGCTGGCCTTTCTCCAGAAGACACTTCTGCCCTCTGAGAAGTGAGTCGATCCACCTGGAGCGTTGTGGGATCGGCACCCCACTTCCGGAGGAGACCCCGAGGCGGCCTCTGCCGCTGTTAGCTCACTGTGAGCAGAAGGCGAGTCCCCGGGGCACGCTGGCAGCTTTTTCAGTCACAAACAGGATTCAGGGCATATCTATATTATTTCTCCCCTTTTCTGCATCATGAGACCACCGGAGGTGATCACTCAGTATCGTATTTATACTTTTGGTTAATTATTGTACCACTCAGATAAAAGGAGCAAAAGTAATTATTCCTCTCGCTTTTGTTTTCTGGGGACAGTAACAGTTGTTTTAATTTGAGGTATCTCAGCTGTCTCCATTTTACAAGTGGCTTATTCTCGGTTTTTAAAATAAGCATTTTTAAAATGTATCTTTATTGTTGAAAGTATTACAGATGTCCCCTTCCCCCTCCACTGACCCGCTTCCACCCCCTCCCCAGGCTTTCACTGCACTATTGTCTGTGTCCATGGGTTATGCGTTTTTTATTGGAACTTGGGATAATTGGGGAAATTTATTGAGCTTCTAAAACGTCCCGCATACTAGTGGTTTCCAAAACGCCCAGCCACCACCTGTGCCGCCGCAGTGCTTCGTGTGAGAAGTGTTTTTGTTTCTGATCCCAGCCCTGTGTGACATCACACACAGGGTTTCCCCAGGTGCCAGCTCTGAGAAAAGTTTACATTGAGAAGGGTGGTTCTAGAAGCCAAGGCGGCTCACACTGAGGCCCTAATGATGGGGGGCCGGGGGGACCCGGAGCGACCGGTGGCTCGTCTTTAGTGAGCCTGTGACTCGGACAGGCGCCTGCTCTGGACCAGAGCAGCTTCATGAGCCCAAAGGGTCAGCTCTCAAAGTTGTGGCCGGTTGTGTGTGTGATGAGTGGAAGTGTGAGCAGGATCTGTAAGAGTCACGGCGAGGGCAGGGTCACAGTCGGGGTTACTGTCAGGGTCACAGTCAGGGTTACTGTCTTCAAAGCCCTGACTTTTCACAAGGTTTTCGGTGGCAACAGAGGAAAGCCTTTGAAGCATTAACTCGGAAGGTGGCCCTTAAAATGAGTCTTTCATAACGAAATCGCCTCCTGCCGGAGAAAAAGTTTTCCTTTATCTTTCTCTGGCTTTGTGTGTTCTGTTTGTGCTTGTAAAACTGAAGATATATGCTAAAAATAGTCTATACAAATTACCAACTTTCCTGGCTTTCCCACTATATAACTGCTCAAATGTTATTTCATTCAAAGGTATTTAAAACGTTTAATTTAGTTACAACTTATTTTAAACTCCAGAAAAATGAAAATGTTTGCCATTAAAATAATTATTAAATTGATGCTTTAATCTGAGGACTGGCTTACACTTAGGACAAAAGCCTTTCCTATTTAAAATTTTGAATATTCATGAACAGCTCTGGACATTTATACTTTTTTGTTTGTTCCCTTATTACAAACTGTTCAGAACGATCAGTTGATTGGTTTTAAGAGTTTCACATTATAACCGAAAGGAAAACATCCCTTGAGGGAAGAATTGTTTCCAAATGTTATTGCTGTCGGCAAGTGATGTGTCCAGAGTTTGAGACGTAACCAGCATTTGTGGGGCTTCAGCCATCAGAAGTGGAGCACCTCGGGCTTACGCGGGCGCGAGTCCTGAACCTCACTGAGATGCCACCTTCCCGCCCTCCGGGCCCTGGGCAGCTGCTGCCCCTCCGGCCGGGCTCTGCTCGCAGCCTCTCCCGCAGCCGGGAGTGTATCCGGCCTGGTCCCGACGCTCAACGGAAAGACTTGCATTTAAAAGAAGAAATTCCAGTCAAATTTGGGTTTGAAAGATTAGAATGTAGGGGGTGTCTCCAGAATTTTTCTGCAGCACCTGGCGCTCAAATCTATTTAGAGCAGCTCTCATTACGGGAGAAAATTGAAAGTGAAGCTCCCCTGGTGGTGTTTGTAGGAGCCCCTACTATCCGTGGCCAAGCTGCACTTAGAGGCTCTTGTACAGAGGATGCGGCCGATTCCATTCTGATGGATGGGCTGCTTAATCATGTTTTCATATGCTTTAAAATATTTATTTTAATAGGCTTTTAAACATTATGGGACCCCAGTGAAGAACCGACGAGCTCTCTAGGCCGTTCATTGGGGAGACTCTGAAACAGCCTAGAGACAGGTTTTTATGCCGACTAATCTGCCTTTAAAATGGATTATAACTGTCTTCGTACACCTTTTATAAAGCAAACAAACAAACAACACTGCCCCCCCCCCC